CAAGATGAAAGAGTCGATGGAGTATTCTTTCAGCATCTCAAAATAATTATAAAATTGACTCCTAAAGTAGAAGCTTATATAGGTAGGTATCAACTAGTATAAAAAGTATTCAAATCAATCGGTTGGCCTATTAAGATTACAAAGTGGCAAACTGCAAAATATGAATGATAATTATAATCGTAGCCATAAGTATCATTTAGCTTATCAGGACTAGATCAAATTAAAATTACTGATGAATAACCTAAAATAATACTTACATGGCAAAAAGAACAAATACATTCGGTGCAATTCTGTCTAACTGCTAAGATTGCAGATTCTTGAGGTACTCTGCATACCTTACCTATTGTTTAGAGCCGTGGAGATTTAGTTATATCATTAGCTTATATAAATAATTTTAATTTTATTATTTATATCTTATAACGCCTTATTTTTTCTTCCAGACAGGATATAATCCGTCAAAGTAGACTAGCTTACCGGGTAGACTAGCACTAGATTTCGAAATTGGTGGAGGATTTTTTAGAATATGATGTAGTCTTCCAAGTGTCCCATTATTTTTAGCTGGTGAAACATTTAAAATAGCTAGATGGAATTAATCATACCAGTTAGTATACATTAAATCTAATGGTTATCTACAGTATTTAGACTATCTTACCCATTTAAAGCTAGAAATCAAACAAAAATTTTTATTTTGTAAGTTTTATAAAACTAAAATTTATTTTGTACCGTATGATTATATGGAAATCTGATTAGAGTTGCATGTTCAGGTCGTGATTAAATTTAATCAAGATTTAATACTTAAATGCTATATCGACTAGGGTAACAGCTTCGATACTATAAACATATTAAACCAAATAATATATCCCATATTCTATATATGGTGGGAAAAAGTGAATTTCTTTTAAGCTACGGAATTCTTATCAATTTCGTAGCTAAAACTGTTCACAGATTCCTTTGAACCGTCGATACGGCCTATGGTATATTTTTTAACTAGAATAAAAGCTAAACTTACTAGCCATTAAGTTATAAATTTCGATATTTAAAAAGGGTTTGATAATAAGTCCACTCTTAAAGGCTGGTCCGCCTGCTATAAAAATTGTTCTCATGTCTGGATCCAGATTGTTCCAACCGTGATTAGCGCCATGGCAGGATGTGAAATCAGGATCATATCTACGATTTAAATTTTACTTAGCTTTGATCATCTATAAACAGTTAAACGATATTTTAAAGACTGCTAATAAGACTTACGAAGGTCTAACGATCCAATTTGAATCCGGCAAAACTACAATTTCGGGTATACGCCTAATTGAAGTAATGGATCATTGCATATGCTTGAGAACAATACGGTATAAAGCATCCCAATTCATTATAAAAATTCATTAAACTAACCTGTTATCATAATAGTGCATACGAATTGGCAATTCTTCTCTCTTAAATACTTTCCAGTGTTTATTTTTACACTGCAAATACGTGTACGTAAAATATTCGAAGTTAAATTAAATAGAATTTAGTTATAAAATGCTGAATTGATATACTTTTCTGTATAATAATTATAAAAAACAAAGAAAGAATCCTTACTCGCAACTGTTCTACAACTTCATCAACGTTACCTATGAGAATTAAAGGAAAATAAAGCTTATCCAATTAAGACATATTTAGCAGTTTATGGTTACAGATGCTTAATGTCATCTAGAACTAGAGGACAGCATTCAGTGTTTGACTGGTCTCATTTCAAATATAAATTTGGATTTAACATAGAACAGTATAGCAAGTATGATCAAAGATAAAAAATCCACTCAAGTTTGTGTCATAATATTCATAAAAAGCTTGCACTACTTGTAATTTTCTTAACAATATCAAGGACAGAGATTCTTTCAATAGTTATGAATGCCATTGTTAAAAATCTTCTTTGTAACAAGAAACCGGGTCTTAAACACTATCTTCACTAGTACTCGTGTTCCCAACTAACTTAGGGACATATCGTAGTTCAACTAACTCTCAGCTACACAAATAAGCTACTAATGAGTAATAGGTTTAAATACTTCACTTTATTTTCGTTAAACTTAGTCATAAAATGTACTAAAGAAAAACGTAAGAATATTCTTAGCAATTATAGTCAAAAGATCCTGCAAGTGACTAACTGAAACTGAGCAGCTAAGCTAGTGCTCGGCTTTTTATAGTCTCAGCAAACGCCGATGGTGCACTTGTGAATATTCTTGACATAACGACTTATACTGTAAAGTATACATATCCTAGTATAGCAACTAGAGCCTCAAGGCTCTGCAAAGTAATTGCACCTTACACTTAAGGTGTTATTAATTAACGTTTACTGTGTAATTAACTCGTTTTGCTGTATTAATGATCCTCATAAATCACTATTTCGATATTAGAAGCAAGTAAGTAAGACTTAAATTTTATGCATTCCTTGAAGAAATTTCTGTCCTTTTTATTAATGTCTTGTACTGAAGATCATCATAAACTATTGCCACAAGCGAGACGTAAATAATCTACATAGATAGCATAAAAGCCTCCTTTACTCATTAATTCTTTTGCACTAACAGTATCGGCAAATTAACACTTCAACTATACGAGTATCAAGTAGGGGCAAAAAAATCTCTCATCTTCTATCTGATACCTAAAATATTGATAGAGAGATATACGCTAAACTAATTAACATTCAAAGTACCTGACCTGATTTGGTTTGAATATCGCCAAAGCCTCCAGAATTGCGCACAGAGACATTGGTTGTATTGACATACTACATCAATTATGGATCAGATCATCAGTTAGTGATAAAGAGATCGACTCTTAAATTAGCACTTTCTATTATTTTGCTATACTAATAATAATTTATTCATGGAAAAGATTACCTTGTCGAAGTAAATGATTCGGTTGCAGCATGTCTTCCTTATACCTCGAAACATTAAATAATGATAAAATTTTCATCGCGATACTAGAATGCTAGAAACTAGCGCCTAGCATATTAATTAAACAGTACTTCCACTTAAAGAAGCGATACCGAATTCAATCAGTAACCAAAATCTAAATCAAATATTTGATCTCACAGTATTCTTACCATGATTTGCAGTTAGGATAATATTAACGCAATCTTGCATTCCTCGCTCCTTCAAACCGTGTAAAATAGCTCCCATTAAATCATCAATGACTTTAATTTGCTCATTGACCTGAAATGAATTTTAAAATAACTAGTTCAAAATAGCGTAAAACTACTTGTAATATAGATCGTATCAACTTGATCTGGATGGAAATGTCAAACTATTAGTCTGAAGATAGCGAAATATACATTGAAATATGATGATTGCATACTTCTGGTGAATCTGGGCCATGTCCACGTGCTGCAACATCCGGTTCATCAAAATATAAGATCATCATCGTAGGGCTTCATAAAATGGTATGCTAATTTAGTCAATTGCTAGGTGGTATTGCGGACTATTCATCCAAAATTATTTAGAAAGCAATATTTACCGTTCATCTTCAGGCATTTCAATCCATTTAAAAAATTGATCTACACGATCCATGAAGGACACTGCTCTATACAACATAGATATTGAGAACAATATAACACATACGGCTTTCTATCTTGGCAACAAATATTAAGCGTGCTTTATATCACAGAATATGATTCTCAAGAGTAATTCAACAGCAAATTTAGATCAAGAATGGTGACTGGATTTGTGTTACATACCCATCATAAAGGTACCAATAATTCGGTCGATAGCCTAACAGTAGAATATTTAATTTATAATTAAATAAATTCCATTTTTTATTACATCTTAAGCTGCACAGCCGATTCAAAGCCAAAAATATGCTAGCTAATAGTTACTTAACTTCTAACTAGGCAAAGCAAAGCACGATCTACACTAAAATATTTATGGATCATTTTTGAAATTGTCTATTTCATGAAACATTTAAGCACTAAAGAATGTGAGCTGTTGTAGCTGACTATATTATGCTATTAGAGACCGTATAGAGTAGGAATTTTACTGTGCACTAAAACCGCTCAATTTTTTTTAAGTATTTACAATAAATAATTCCTTCAATCCTATCAATCCTATCAAACTCTATGATATTGATTACCTGCAATCTCGGAAGCAGATCCGACCCAAAAGTAGGTAGCTGATTTCAAATTGTGTTTTCTTGCCGTTACCCAAATCTAAAGATAAAGCGAAATATGGGAGTATTGTAGATTAATTAAGTTATTGGGCCATCAACAGTTTTTAAGAAGTAGTTTACTTACCGGTTCACCTCCCCACCATCTCGATTGAGTAGCATTCCTCGATCCCATAAAAAATCGTTGGTTGTAAACAGGATCATAAAAGCTGTTTGCTACGATGCCGTGGTAGGCAGGATACAATCCCTAAATAGTACACGCTCAGTAATCATGACATATGCAGTTCCACCTGTCATTTCATCGATTTTTTCAATACAACTAACCGTTACTATGGTATAAAGGTTGGGAAATGTCTTGGTAGGAAAAACAGATTCCATATATTCGGCTCGAACACCCTTCGCAGCTGAAAAATAAAGTAATGTGATAAATATATCGAGTGAAGATCAGAAACAAGTGGCTTTCGATCATTAACAGGTTAAATATAGAAGCTATCTATAAATTATTAGAACCTGAACTAATTATATTTGTAGATGGCAGCAATGACGTAGGACAAAATCGGTGTTAGAAATGGCAGTGACATATATATATATAACATAGGTTAACATATATAGTAATGCTAAAGGACAATGTGTGTCCCTGCTACGTAATAAAATCATTAACTCACCAAATTTGGATATATTAGGAGAAAATCCACGATTAAAGAAATCCCAGCGAAATCCATCAACGCCAACTAACAATAACGGTTTTACTTTTGCTCTAATATATTAGTGCGCAAATGTATAGTTTAAGAAGCTGGATTAGTATCATGACTTGAAAATAATTGAAAATCAGCGCAATACTCTCATCGTATCCTATGGTGTGCCCTTTACTTTAATAGTAATCAATAAGTTTTTCAGTGCTAAGTTATGAATCAAACTCCTACAATTGTTTGCATACATACTTGCAGATGTCCGGAATAGTCGGTTTAGTCGGTTTTGAAGCTGTTGGTCGAGAATTAGTAGCTGGTGGTGGGCTAGCTGGCCGTTCAGTAGTTGGGGGTATCCTATTGGTAGCTCTTGTTGCCGTCATAGTTGGGCGAGTTATAGTAGAATCCTGTTCGCCTAAATGACCATTGGCTACGATATTTTCAAATTTATAGTAAAGTATATCAAAAACGACTAATAAATTCTTTGCGAAGCAAAATCGTATATTATGCAATCGATTTCATCCAATAACTAGAAGATCAGTATAGTTCAATGAATTTAGTAATGACTGTGTCGCATGATTAGTATACATTTGACGAATGTTGTCTAAGTAAATGGATGTTTACGTAGGTATTAATCGCTCTATATTTTTAAATTTTTCATTATTTAGCTTAGAAGTGAGTATGCTGGCTAGAAACTTCCATCAACAACTCTATGCAATTTATTGATCGTTGGAATATTGATTTTTCAACGCAATCAGTCTGATAAGAAGAACACATCGACAAATAAACTCATTATTTTCTCCTTAAATAGGTATAAATTTTTGCTTCGCTACTAAACAGCTCCGTAATTTATCCATCACCTATACATTTACACTGATTTCTAACGCACTTCTGTCAAATTTAGTCCATAATAACATCCAAATTTACCTGCTTTTTGCGTAAATATACCAATCAGAAGACCAATTGCAAAGGCTACGATGATTAGGATAATCCCGGCAATCTAATTGAATATTTAAGACTAAAATATTATAAATTAAATATCAAAAAAATCTTAGTCTAAGAGAGCTTTGATTTCTAGTCAGGCTTAAACATTCTGCTATGATACTTTTTTCTTCTGAGTTGTCTAGATATTATTGCTGCCGATAAATACCAGACTAAGGTCTAACATGTATTTCAAGTCCAGTTTTGGACGTGAGTAAGCCTTTATTAAGTCTGGAAATACAAATTACACTCTATTTCAAGCGAACGATACTTAACGTAATACCTATTCTCAACTAATGATCGTCAGAATTTCGCTATACTCGTGGGCATCATTGATATATACAATATTTTAAGGATAAGCTGGTCAGAAATGGATTAACTTGGGCAGAATTTTAAAAATATGATCTATAAATCTAAGAAATACATAAATTAAATGTAACTTCTAATTTCGATTACTTAGGGTATCTTTTTCCAGAAATTAATCGCTTATAATAATATCCTGAGATCTTGTAGTAGTTTGTGCATTACAACCGCACTTTTATCCTACTGCACGAATGTTTAGTCATACAAATCATTACTTATCTCTGTCTCACGTTCAGTTCTCACGAAAGTTACGATATAAATACGTGTAATTAAATGCAATTGTGATTGCAGAAAAGTTTATCATCGATAATCTTTCTACAGCCCTCTATAGCTCTCTAAGAAAGAGTCTTGCTATCGTGCTAAGTCATAATAATTACTATTTATCCATTATGGCGTTACACGATTACTATCGAATAAATGCATTTAACCTATCACAGACTATACATTAAGGTAACAATAGTTTACCGGAAGCCAAATCAAGTATAAAGCTCAGTACCCCACTCAAAGTACCTTGCGAGCTTTCTAAGCACAATTTATGTTCATGAATTATAATGCTAAAGTTAACAGATCGAACGTGCGATGATAGAAGTACTAGTAGGCGAGTCAAAGGAGTTAAAAATTAGGAAAATATCAATTACTATTATGAGATAGGCCATATTGCATGCAAATCAAAGATAGTGAGTGATGCAGTAAGCATTTTCAATTTAGCAGTTAAATCAGATCATTCATAATATTAAAAAATAGAATTAGCGTTTCAGATAGCTTTGTTAGATTGCAGCATTATTTGCCTTAGCGATCTTACCAAATGAGATCTTTTGATTTTATTATTCGATTGTTTCTGGCTTACTTCTTCAAATTGCATCTTCGAATTACCGTGATATGTTTGAATTGTAATAGAGAGAAAACGATGAATTTCATACGCGTATTCTAAATTAGATTTAGTTTCAAGAATCAAAATAATAAAAATTAATCTACAATATAAATTGTGCTATCAATCTACAACTAGCAACAGAAGAATACTACGGTAATTACTATAATTTATCGATCAGAAAGTTAGACTAAAGTTAGCATATTACTATCGTCGATTTCCGAGTAAATTCAAATCATCCATAGCACGTATTACTGTGATAGACTCATTATAGTTATTAATCGGATAGATCAATGACGAAAATTTTAAATATACCTAAGTAATTATCTTTAAATATTAAGCAATGATTTATGAGAATCAAATTGTAATTAATAGAGCAAATTGTAAAAATCCTGTTCGACTGGTAATCTTTAGCAAATTTTTGTTGGAATTTTATTATAGGTCTTCTCTATCTGCTAGAATAGATTGAGCGAAAAAATTCGTCTTGAAAATATCCAATATCTATATAATGAGCCCCATATCTTTATCTCTAACAGTATCTCTGTCTAACTGGTAATGATTATATCATATCATATATCCTAAGAGCTTTCCAGAAAAGAGACCTATCATTTAAACTAGTAAAATTATTCTTTTCTAATCTTACTTTAGCACTAGGTATTTTTCTGCTTTTCTTTCTTTACTATAACCAGAGATTTTCTTAACTTCGCTTAAATCGATGTAGGTCGATCAGTTAAAGGCAGAAATGACTATCATTACGCCAAGTGCTAGTAATAAATAGTTCTGAAATTGACTATGGTAGGATGTGATTGGATAAGCTTGATTAATCCACGTACTTTAATCCCTATGGATCTCTAGATCAGCATGATTACTCAAGGTAACAGCTATATTGATAATTTGTACTCTAAATGTATGAAATTATCATCGATTTCAATTCATAAGCAAATGTAGGTGCGTCTATTATCTAAATAATCTGATCCTGATTTGAGCGTACCATCTCGTACCGTAATTCAGGCTTGTACAAATATTCACAAAACATCAGGCAGCCAAGACTAGAAAAATAACAATAATAGTATCACTGGTATAAGTTAACTTGAGATCTTATGTGAAACTTGGCTATTAGTATTTTTCTAGTCTGCAAAATATTGTAAACAAAGTATTATTTTACTAAAGCAAACATGACATGCAGAAACTAGTGATGAATTCGAAATATGCGGTCAAGAGTAAGTAAAATAGGAGCGTAATTGATGTTAATCGCCTTCGGTATAGCCTATGGTGATATCATCAAGAAATCATTAAATCCACAATCAACGGCACAATTGCACAAAAGTTTTATTTTAATAATTTTATAATTGCTATAATGTGAAGAAATGATTTCCAATGGTATTATGAATGGATAGAAAAGACTCCTCTTTATCTCAATCCATAATCAAAGCGATTTACGTAGAACTCATTACCATTGTATAAAAATCAAGTAGTCGATAATAATTGCTTAAGAGCTTAGGCTTTTCGTTAGAACCTATCCTATCGAAAGAGAATACTATAAGATTATTGAAATAGCATAGAAGAACTCGGTATTATTCATTTCTTTGGCTAAGATAATCATTTCAATGGCTGCAACACTGAATTTATTTCTTTTAAGGTTATACTCGATATTAGAAATACCATGCATCTTAAACTTTTGTAAATAGTTTATGACATTATTTCATATTTTTTACTGGAGCAATGAAGACCTAATCATAAATAGTCGCAAAAGCATCCACTTTATAACAGATGCAATTGACTTAAATTTAGTCAGATTAGAAGGCTATCTCATTCGTATCATAATTTGCACGCAGTACCAGGCACAACTTAATACTTCCTTAAGGGGTTAAAATAACTGAAAACTGCAAGTTCAGTTAGCTCCTCCTAATTGGAACTGCCAGGTTCGACATACGCAAGTAAACAAATAGATGAGTTCCTCAATCAAGTAGGCAATTACTAACTTTGTTCAAAATTTGTAATAGCCCAATATTATAGAGCCACGAGAATCGAACTTCGTTTAGGAATAGATGTAGAAATAAATGCCCCGTTATCACCTTTTATCCAATTTACTATGCAAGCAAGCACGGATAAATAGGACGTATAGATGTAAACAAACTCAATCCCTTAAAGAAATAAACACGCTATAGGTAGCATTGATTTGTCTAAGGTTAGAGTCAAATCGACTAGAATTTCGATATTTTAATATTAAAACTTGGTAGATAAATGTTGCAGCATGCGATGATGACCTATATTATAGAATGATAGATTTTGGGCTTCATAAATTCACTTTATCGACCGTAAAATAGTTGTAAATCGGTAAACTTTCTATAATTAGAGATAGTGATTCTTTCTAACAATAACGAACAATTTATCACCTCTTATTAATTATCATTCTACACTTATCCAATATCTAGCGTTCGAAAAGCTAGCTGTACGGGGCAGATTCCTTGTCATCAATAGCTGTCGCAAATTTTTCTAGCCGATGAGTGTTGTAGTTATCAAATTGCCATAGCTTCTATGCATATGCTAAGCGAATTATCAAAACTTACCAAGTCGTGTTAGCTGAAGAGAAAGTTTTACGTTTAAAATGATCCCAACGAAATACATCTTTAAAAACGACAATTAATAGTTTTCTCTTATAACTCCTATCGACCCTAACCTAACTTCAGAAGAGTGGATATTTATGTGCATATTCATCGTAATAAATGCAATCATTACAAGTAATCGTATATTGCAGAGTTCATGGTAAATGCGTATTATTAGTAACACTTGAATTAGCTAAAAATAGCAGGCAACAAGCAGTTATAGCCAGTTTTAGATCTGTATAACAAAATTGAACAGCGCTTTGGTAATTCAGTTAAAGTATTATCCAGGAGTGCACGATAAAATTTTAATTTCTGAACCGTGGCTCAAATTGTCTCTTCTAAATCAATTATTTTTCAGTCTAGTTGCTAGTATAAGAAATTCAGCGATGTATTCAGATTTTTCTATCAAGAACCGGTAAAGCAGACTAGCATGTCTATCATTTTTTTACACTATGCCAAGATACGATTCTTCTTTCCTTAGTTTACATAAAATGCAATAGCTGAATATTGAACTATACCTTTTTAGGAATAATTATTCTAACTATAAAAGATATATCAATTACCGTAACTCAGTCGTTAAAAAAGTCTATATGCATGAATTCAGACCCTAGATAGTGTGATGATCTTCGTTCAGTAGAATGATATTATGGATTTTTATAGTTAATACCAACTGGTAAGGATCAACATAAGTAATTCTAATCCCGCAGAATCGAACTTTGAAATAATGCACGAATTCTTTAGTAATAATCAGAAATAATATGACAAAATGCTAATAATCCATACTCTACTGTACTATACACACCATAAAAAAATTATTGTAACGCTGTTTATTGATTATCTTTTATATAAATTGGGTTTCCAACGGATTCATAAAATTGTTACTGTTATTCCTCAATTTCTAGTATCATACCAATTGAGCATGCAATTGCATAAAGGCAGTAGCATCTATCAATGTAAGTAGCCCGCTTACCAATAAATGATATGCAAAGGATCAATTTGAACTTTATTCTAAATGCGGAGTTAGACTAAAAGCTATCACAAAGAAATTGTAAACATTATAATTTTATTGTAGGTTATACGCACTGAAATTTTCATGTACTCTAGTTCAACTATAACGTCGAGAAAACAGCCTAACTAATGCTCTACTGCAAGCCCTCGATGCATTTACCATTTAACTGTAAAATGGCAAATTGAAATTATAACACAAAATCTAATTTTTAGCATTTAGAATTATAAATACGATTAATGAATGAATGATGTAAACTAGAAAAGCTAAAAGATCGACCATAACTCTGTGGGTATTTGGGCTTCCAATTGAACTTGCAACTCTGCTGGAAGTTCAGGGAAGAAATCGATACCAGTCAATTTTTCTATATCAGCAATGCTGGAAACATGTTCAAAGATTTGTGATACGGCAGACTGTAAAACAAAAGATGCAAGAATAAAATAAAGGAATACTGCTCTTTAAAAATGTACATTGTAGATATAAAATAATCATTAAAATATAAAATTAATACTACAACTAAAGAAAAATACTTATCGAACATGTTTGTGTATAACAATTTAAAACTTAAATTATTGAGATGTAAATATCGTTGTAATGCTAAAAAATATGTCATATTTTTCAAAATTTATATATAACCGCGATTGATACAGAATGTACCGTATACCGGATATATAGCATTTCATTACTATAGTAGAATCATAGAAAATTGCAAAATCGGTAAAGACTATTACTAATGTGAAAATAACCCAGAAAATCTGTCCATAACTACGCAATTAAAAATTATTAACGCAGAATATCATTGATGTAAAAGGCTATTATTTACAAAAGATTCCATCTAGTATCTGCAAACTATCAATACTAAACTTAAAATATCCATTTAAACAACTGTTAATACAATTATCGTAAAAAAATTTAAAATATTCATATAATATCGCTATTACTACGGGAAAAAATATGAAGCATCACTATGTTTTAGTATCTTTCTATCATTTAAAGTGCAGTATTAATGTAAAATTCGTGTAAGTGTTGTTAATACTAAGGTCAATTCCACATTAGCATCAGCAGATTTTATGCATATGAGTACGTATAGTTTGTATGAGTTTTATGACTCAATTTTAAAACGTCATTGCATCATTATTTATGCAATTATGTTTACATGGTTAAATTATAATTTAGACCTCGATTTGACCGATAATAAAATATTACAAGTATTCTTACGCGACATTGAGGTGAGGCTGATTTACTATGTGGCAGTATAAATGATAATGCTTC